AATTAGGAAATAAGCATTTACCAAGTTTTTCTTTTATTAACTAGTACTGATTGATATAGGTTTTGAATACGTAAAGCGTAGTCGCAAAAGTATATCACGGAGTTTATTAATTGACAACGCAGGTATTTAAAGTCGGTCAAAAATATCGCCAACAAAATAGTAATATCGTCTATTGAGATGAGAGTTTGGTCAGTCAAAAAGAGGTTCATGTTTCGTTCTGCTTCATGCTTGATATGCAAAACGATTTCTACATGGCGCCGACCGAACAAACAAAAGTGACCTAACCTCAAAATGGACAAAAAAGTGTTGTTGTTATGAACAACTCGTAAATTTAGGTATCGAGTATTGAATCAAATAAAGCTATATGCTACTGAACTAAACATAAAAATTGGGTAAAGCAAAAATGTTGCGATGAAAATTGACAACGGTGTGCTGTATTCGCAATGTAACTTGGACTACAGAAATAAGTTTTTTCCCTTAACATATTCTATTTACGACCACTCTATACATGAGAGAATGCTTTGCACTACACTTGCAATGTACAAAACCGCATGAATACATATACGAGGTGTGCACAAAAAGTAAGGCGACTTTTAAGTTTTATCAAAAAGTATTTATTTAGCTTCTCAAAATTAATTTTGTCCCCTTCAAAGTACTCTCCGTCAGATATAATATATTTGTGCCAACGTTTTTTCCAATCCGCGAAACACTTCCTGGTATAGTCTTGAGTTCTTCCAGCGATTTTTCCTTTATCTCCTCAAACCTCTTTCCTTTCATGGGTTTCTTGAGTTTTGGGAACAGGAAAAAGTCACAGGGGCCATATCCGGTGAATATGGTGGCTAAGGCATAATTGTCTTTTTGTTTTTGGCCAAAACGTCAAGGTAACACTCTTTATTGACCCTACGACCTTGTGGTAAAAACAGTAAGCAAAACCTTGACATTTGATCGAATTTGACGTGCTTTTTTTCGGTCTTGGCGATTCTGGATTCTTCCACTGGTAGGACTGGGATTAGGTTTCAATGTCATAACCATATACCCATGATTGGTCAGTAATTATGACTTTTTTGACATCGTTGAACAGCTCCTGAGCGATACTCCGTCGACGGTCCTTTTGTTCAAAATTAAGTTTCCGAACAAATTTTGCTGCCACACGTTTCATGCCCAAAACTTCAGAAAAAATTGCATGACACAGGCCAACGTCTTCAGCCACTTCTCTAATGGTGATTCACTATTTGTCAAGACCATTTGTTTCAGTTCTTCAACGCTTTTATCAGCTATTAACGTGCTGGGGCGTCCAGAGCGAAGTTCGTCATCGACGTCTTTTCGGCCATCTTGGAACAGCTTGTACCACTTATAAACATTTTTTTTACTAAACGTTGTGAACATTACAAGTCTTGCGCAGCACAGTATTCCTTTTTTTACACAAAATTTTATGAAAATTCTTTGATCCATTTTTTCTGACAGCAGAAAATAGCTGATCACACAAAACACGTCTAATGCTTCTGTTTCACAATAAAAAGTAAAAGTGCGAACTGGCTCACACTGTGAACATATGTCAGGGACATGTGTACCAACATAACAAATAAAATCGAAGATCGAATGTATATAGCCCGCCCAATTACAAAAAATAACCTTACTTTTTGAACACACCTCGTACATATTTGAAATTTATTCTGTAAGCGATAAGCAGCAAACTTTAATTATGTTAATTATAGTTGTCATTAGGCGATATGAAAGGCTTGAACGTATCTTTCAAATTCTTTAAATCCTAATGATTATTCATAAGCAAGTCATGGAGTATAAGTGACAAATGTCAAATATCCTCCGCAGCTAAAAATGCGATGGCTCCCAAACACGTGACTAAAGTAGCGAAAATTTTCGAAATTACTCATGCATAAGGAAGCTGACGACTTAATTTATGCATGATTACGTTTTTATTATTGAGAAACGGTCAAGCTACAGCCCCAAGACGGCTCAGAACTTTGCACACGAAATAGTGAATTTATTTATCAAAAAAAATGTCATAATTATGCAAGTGCACGTTACGGGAGTGCAATAACTATTGTGGAGCTGTTGGATATAATAGTTTGATGTCTATCGGAGAAAGTTATGACTGTTTCGATTTCGTTTTACTCATTTAAACTTTCCACCCAATTTCACATACGGGGTGCTGCAAATAATGTGGCAAAGTACTATATATGCATTATTTATTACAAGTATAAACAATCGTTTTAATAGCAGTTGCATAAAATCAAAAGAATTTAAAAATATTTTCAATTATATGAAATGTTTCATAAAAGCGTACAAATAAAATACATTTTTTATTATATAAATTTATATATTTTGAATAATACAGCTTGAATATTTATATATTATTTAGAATTATGATTCCATCAAAAATTTGGATATGACGCGGTAATTGCTTTCTAATTTTAATGCAACTTTTCCAAAATGACAAACTTTCAACTAATTCCGAATGATCGATTTAGATTGTTTTATAACTCAGTTTAGTTACTAGTCAATTTTTTATTAGCTTTTCTAATTAATTTTAAAAAAAGTGGTACTAAACTCTTGGTAACACAATATAATCTTAATGTTCATTATTTTTAATGTTATAAAGACTGCAAATTTAAAGGAGAACACGTTTTTTAATTATATATAAATGTTTTATTTTATAGTCGCAGTAATATGATATAAAATAATAAGCATTTTTTGAAGAATTCACTTATAAATATTTTGTTTAATATATTATATATATTAATATTTTGTTTTAAACATCCTATATAAAATTTATTACAATAAAGTTTCCAATGTAGGAATGCAGGAAAAACACTTCTGTATTTGATTCCATTATAATATTTAATTAAAAAAATATTAATTTAGGAAGAATTCGGCAATACTTGACCTATCATATAATGTAAGTACCGAAATTGTGCGATATCTGCATAATTTTGAAATGATTTTTGTTTACCTTGTCAATTAGCCTCGAACGCGAATTGCTAAAATATATAAATGCAAAGGTACATAGAAATTTAGTGACAATGATATTATTGTGATGGGGTAAATTAAAAACTAGCAACACATTTTAGTACGCGAGTACGTAACAGTCTAAATGGACATGACACAAATGCACATTTTCATTAGTAACGCGGTTTTTTGAATAACCTCAAAAGCACTATTTACAAAGCTTCTGGATTATTCCTGCGTCGCCAATTATCCTGTTGACTTCTTCAGAGCTTAATTAAAACTGTTACAGCAGGGGGAATCCAAAAGTTTTGCAAATATTATTACAGTGGCCTGTGGACAAATACATTTTTGGATAAGCAAATTTAGCAATTTGTGACCATTTTTTCCAATAGTTTTTTGTCAATGCTCTGTTGACTTATTATGCGATGATACCTTATCTCCAAAATCTGTAAAAATTAAAAAAAAAATAGAAACAGAATTTGTTTGGATTCACATGAACTTAAAATATAGTGTTCTAATACATTCAGGGTTTTTGTATTTTCTTTGAATTTTTCTGAAGATTCTAGATATATGTTGCATATAACACTTACTGTTTCTGGAATTTTGAATTTTATGTCAAAAATGACGTTCGCAGTTAGAAATATAAACATTTTTTGAACTAAAAGTGTTTGTTATATATTTGGAGTTGTAATGTAATAATAATGTGTAATAATGTAATATATATTGACATACCAAAAAAAAGAAAAACCGACTGGCCAGAAAATAACATTAAAAATTTGAATGAACAAGTCCTTGAAAGTCATTTTTTAAAATTGCAACATTCTATTTTTACAATTTTATTATATTTGGAGTTTTAAAAAATGGTGATTGCGTAAAACGTTTCCTATTTTAAAAAGTTGTAAATTTAGAAATATTAGGAATGGAAACGACTACAGCAGAAAAAAAACATTGCAGCACTGACGAAATGGAGCCCACTGTTTACAGTACTTTGACAGTTTCTGATGAATCTTATTAATCAATTCAGTCAATTAAGTCATTAAAACCAAAGCTTTTAAATTAGTTTAATATGTAAATTATTGAACAAATTGTATCAAAAACTTTTAGATATTAGGTATATCGCATTTAAGATGAAGAAATCCTATTTAAATAAATAGGCTAAAAGTTTTGCACAGTCACACAGGTTGGAGATTTGCTATTTTTTAAGATACTCAACTAATCCCCAAACAGCGTCAATTTTTGACATTTTGCTTTCAGTTAGAGACATCGGAAACAGTTTTTTGAAAAAGGTATTCTGAATATTATTATTCTGAATTTCATGACCAAAATGCCCATTTTTAGTTTTTTCATTATGGATAAGAACAAAGGGTCATTTTTACTATGGCCTCCGAGGTTCCCTGATACTACATCAATTGAATTTTATTTTTGGGAAGTAATAAAAAATGAAGTTAATAAAACAAGGTCCAGAAATTAAACTAAAAAATATTGTTTTCCTAAAATAAAATAATTATTCCTTTGTGTTAGTGTTTTTTATTTTACTGAAGAATTTAAATTCGTGTATTTCACTATCGAATTGATCATATTTTACCATAACAATATCATGCCACATCAACTTCGCAATAAGCTGTGTTTAAAATTTAAATCTTACTTGAGTATCTTAAAAAATGTGAACCAAATCTCCAAATCTGCATTTATTTAGATAGCCGAAATGGGTGCCTTCAGGTTAAATTCACACAACTTTTGATATTTTTCACTGTTTCTTTAAAAAAAGTATCATCCTATAATAAATGTGCCACTCTGTACATTCTGTTATAGGACGTTATTGGTTTAATAGGAAATCTTAAAATAGCAAATTTTGCAATTTAATTTAATGTTGTATAATATTAAATCTGTGATTAAAAATTTGTAGTAAAATTTTCGAAACATAACTCGTAAATATATAAGCTATTATTAACTGCACGTTTAATTAGGTTCTATAAAGCTATAACATTGAAAATAAAATAATTTTATCATTAAAAAAAATGCGTTTTACTCACCAATATCTAGTGAAATAAAAATCAGCGTTATTGGCACGAAGATGACAAAAATCGGCATTCGAGTCACCATTTGTCTCAAAGAGTGAATTCGATTTCAGGCGACTGCCGCGGATCGTCCAGATTTGCCCACTTTCGGAACAATTTTAAAACGGACCAAGTCCACTCTTCAGACCATACGCGATTACACTTCCACAAACCACCTCTAGAGACACGTATATATGAGCGTGTATGTCTACCACCAATAGCAATAAATAATGGGATAATCAGTCCATCCTTTCTTAGTAACGACGAGTGTGCTTGTAGCAATTTACCTGCTTTACGTGCTTTTTTCTCATTATCCGTGTTAGTTTGTGTTATTTGCGATAATAGCCGTAGATAATTTAAAAAAGTATCGATAATTTTTGTCCGCGTGGTGCGATTGAAATTTAAATTTATTATTTCCGTCAGTTTTCCGTTTTGGTTTAGTTTTGGATAATTCACACGTTTTACAGATTTATTACTAGGGAGAATACCGTTGTTAAAAATACAAGGTGTCCAAATAGTGTGTCAAACTAATATGTCTCGTTTATTATTTATTTTAGAGAAAATGTTAAAAACAAAAGTTATACGTGACATCAAAAATCAAAATCAAACATATATTTTTTACGTGGAACACCCTGTATAGTATTTTACTAGTAGATACTAATCTTAATACTCATACCCCATGGATTTATGCCCTTTGTTTTTGACGGTGTTTCCGACAGCTGTAATTTTATTATGCCAAAAATTTTATAAAGTGATACAGTCATTTATCCTACACTACAAAGTGAGTCAAAATGAAAAATATTAATTTTCGTGAAAAAATCAAATTAAACAGCCTCTATATTACACTTCCATTAATAACTCCCATTAATTCTCTTTCAATTTTATTGAGCATTCCTTATACCTAAACTTATTATTTATTTGAGATATATCCCTTTTTACAAAAAAAAATACTGAAAACTTTCAAACCGTGCGAAAATGCCACAAAAGATTGAGAAGAAAATAAATATTACTTGAACGTGAAAAGTCTACAGGGACGAATTAAGTATAATTCTTTCAAATAACATTTTCTACATGTAAATACAAAATTTAATGAGAAAATATAAAATATTAAATCCGAGATTTAAACAACAGAAAATAATGAATTCCGCAAATTTGGAAAAACAATTTAAACAGTATTTTACGTTAGGGATAATACTAAAAATGCAATATTAATTTTGCTAATAGTCCCAGAAAAAACATTTACGAAATAAAAACAAAAACGCGAAACAAAAAAGAACTGTTTAATTAAGTTACACTTTACTTAATGCTCGAAATGTCTTCCACGATTGGGCAGTATAATAATAATAATAATAATAACACTTTACTTTAGACTTTAGACTTTATTGATCATTAAATACATGACAAGAATAACAAATGGCAAGGCACAATATTCACAAATAATAAGAATAATAATAATAATAACAATAGTAATAATAATATTAATAATAACAATAATAATAATAATAATAATAATAATAATAATAACCACCACCCCAAAAGCTCCAGAGAAAGATTCCATCTACCAAGAAAGAAAGGAGGAAGAAGGGTACTAGACCTAAAAGATGTCCACAAAGAACGAGTTGATGAATTGAGAAGGTTCTATGAAAAAAGCACAACATCCACGTACCACCGCAACATCGTGAATGCAGATAAGAAACTCACGCCTCTTAATATGGCGGATAAACACTATCAACCATTGCTAGAAATAACCACTGTTGTAGATAAGATGCAGAGATGGAAATCAAAAGAACTACATGGACGGTACCCCGCTACAATTGAACTTGACCAAATAGACACCAATGCCTCCAACGCCGGGCGGATGGCGGAAACTGAGGGCTTTATGCACGCCATTCAAGATCTGGTAATACCTACACTAAACTACCGCGAGTACATTATAGGAGATCCAGACGTACAAGCTGACAAGTGCAGAATGTGCCACACCAAATCAGAAACCGTAGAACACATAATTGCTGCATGCACAATCGTAACTCCAACACAGAAGGCACGATAACATAGTTAAAGTAAAACACCAGGAAATAGCCCAAAGAAATGATGTTTTGATAGAGACCCCTCCTTACTATGCCTACACGCCAGAACCTGTTACTGAATGTAGAACCCACAAAATATACTGGAACAGAACCTTACGTAAATAGGATATTATGCAACAAGTGCGGTAAACGGCATTTGACTCACGAGTTTATTTGACACGAGCGAAGCGCAGCGGAGCGAGTTTTTAATAAACGAGTGAGTTAACCGAACGTGTTGCATACTATACTTTTTCTATGACCGTTAGTTTTTGGGTACATTTTCGCAAAACACGAATACATTCACTGACATGACCGTCAGAATTCACAAACGTCAAAATTCAAAGCGTGGTAAATATCTCCGAAAACATCCGATTGCTCCCAAATTCCGGAATTGTCCGAAGTATCTCGAAATCATGGGAAACGAAACTGACGTGGTAAAGGGACGCTTCCCGCACGCTAGATCGATGGGTAATTAGGTATTTTACAGACGGGAGTAAAAAAACAAAATTACGTACCTGATAGATATTGCTGTACCGGCTGCTCATAACGTCCGGGGAACACAGGTTGAGAAAGTCCGAATATACACGCCACTCGCCGCCGAAGTGAAACCAATCTGGAACAAAGAAAAAGTGGTTATTGTGCCAATAATTGTGGGAACAATTGATGAAATACCTCTAAAACTACACCGGAGCCTTCAAACGTCGCAACTACCACCTTAAGCTTCAGATAACATGCCACATTGCTCGTAGACAGATTTAAAATCGCAAAACTACTTGGGCATTTGCTGAAAGCCGTGTCCAAAGTACCTACCTGTGGAAATGGAAATAATAATAATAATAAGAAGAAGAAGGAGAAGAAGAAGAAGAAGCATTCGCATGGCAAACTTAGGTTTGCATGGCCAACTTACATTTGCAAGAAAATACGCGATCTGAAAGCATTATTACATAGAAAGAAAGGAATTTTTTGTTCACAAAATTAAAAAATTTACTATTTATTTTTATTTTTCTACGATATTTTCTCATATATTGACAAATATTTTTTTTCGTAAAAAAGTGTATACTTCAAAAAATATGTTTAGGTATAAAAAGTAAAAATTGAAAGAATATTATTCGGAGATATTAACTGAAATATAATATACAAGCCGTTTCATTTAATTTTTTCATAATATTTTTAATTTTGATTCACCCAGTTTAAACCAATCGAACTAAGTTAAAGACTAGTAAGACAAGTAAATAAAATTTTTGGCATGATAAAAATACAGCTGTCGGAAACGGAGTCAAAAATACAGGGTATTAAACGCAGGGGCAACCGAGTGTAACCGCATTTGGACACTCTGTATATTTTTAAAAATACAATATGTCTCTCTATCGGAACAAAACATCACCACATGAATATGTTATAAGCACTTTATTACGAACGAAAAATAAAAAAGGATTTCGAAATTTTTATCTTCAATAATCTGGATACTCAGGTATTCAAATTAGTTTTTATGTTGGTTCCTGAGATGTTTCTTTCATTTTGAAAACGCCGATTAGAAACGATTTCCTTATGAAAAATGTTAACTGCGTCATATGAATAGTATGGTCTGTTCATAGATAGAACTTTATGGAAAATTGTGAATAATCTCATTTCAGCCAGGAAAAAAAGAAGCGATGCTGACATTTTCTCTAGTGTAGATGAAAGTGATCAAGATATAATAAGGCGTAAAATTTACCAGGTATACGAGGAACAAGCGTGCCTACATTAGATATCTTAATTAGGAGGCTTGAAAAAGATGAAACCGGTGTTAAATGTAGCAGAACTACCTTATGGAAGTGTATTCAACACATGGATTTTTGATTTAAAAAAATTGGCAAAAGGCAAGTTTTAATGGAATCTTTTAGAATTCGGAAATGGCGACTGGAATATCTAGAAAAAATTAGGATTTACAGAAAACAAGAAAGGAAAATTATTTACTTGGATGAAACCTAGTTCGACACTGATGATACGCCGGAAAAGGGTTGAGTTGACTCAACTGATAAGTGTAAAACAAAAATAATAACTATTTTGCATGCTGGCTCTAAAGATGACTGGATTCCAACCACCCTGATTTATTTGAAAGTTGGTTTAAAAACAAACTAGTTCCAAACATTTCTCCTAATAGCGTAATTGTAATGGACAATGCAAGTTATCACAGTAGACAATTGACTAAAACCCCTTCCTCATGTGACACAAAAGCAAAGATCCAAAACTACATGCATAATAACGACATTTATTTTCACGAAGATTATACCAAAAAGCAATTAATTGAGGTTCTACAAAGTTTGAACCTACAAAAGGAATACGTCTGTGATAATTATGCAAAAAATCTAGGGCATACAGTTTTAAGGCTTCCACCTTACCACTGTATATTTAATCCCATTGAACATGTTTGGCACCAACTGAAATCTGCCATTCGTCATAACAATGTTTTTCCCCGTGTTAACTCCAATGTCCTCAAACTTATAGAAACCTAAGTTTTTAACATCTCTCCACAAAGTTGGGAAAATTCTCTTAAACATGTAGAAAAAGCAGAACAATCGTATATCCATATTGCAAATAATATAAAATAAATAAGTAGGTAATGAAAATAATTTGTAATTTTATTTTAGATTTAAACATAAATACATACATAAATAAATAAATATTGTTTAGTATATTTCCTAACAAAACCACAAATAATTAAATTCTAAACAAAGTACGGACCTGTTCAACCATATTTCATTCTTACAGCTTGCCTGCTGCCTTTCTTATATCTATGAACAGACTTTACCTATACTATGTTAGTTAATCCGAGAGAATAATCAAATATAAATTTGCAATGAGAAAGATCGTTAAACAGGGTGAACAACTGTAAGGTTATATCATGCTCTGCGAACCGTTCTTAAACTAGGGTCATATTTATTTAGCTATATTAACCAGGTATCTACTACTAGGAAAGTTGCGTTTTCTAACTCTCTTACACAAATTCATCTGCATACAAAATTAAGGTATCTGTTTAAACATCCTGTAGAATACTTTGATATCTTTAAGCCCCAGCCATCACTTTTTCTCGTTGGTCTTGACCTTAATGTTCATAATTGTTTAAATATATAAATTAACGTTTTTAGATAAATATGGGTTTGCATCAAATAGTCTCTCGACCAACATGCAGT